AATTATGTCACCAAAACCTACAACTGTCTCTTTATTCTAAATTTCAGGAATTCTGTTCATTCATTATTTTCATTTTTTTCTTCTTAAAACTTACTTTTATGCAACTTTTTTTTTCTCAAAAGAAAAATATCAAAAATGTTAGAAAACCAAGAAAAATTCTACATTAATTATTATTATAACTATTTTAAACAATAATTAGGTGAAATCAACGAAGTGAATTAGTATTGTTTTGCCAAATCTGGTGTATTAATTAGAACACAGATATAAACATTACTGTTAATGTTATATATTGCAAATGATGTGTTTTAGGAAAATAACTTATTCTGTGAATGAAACACAAGATTTCAGTAATATGGTAAATTATGAGGATCATACACTGAATACTTCATTTGGAAAATTCCATCATTTATCCTTCACATTCTACATGATTTTCTTTTTCAAGTCACAATTTCTTTATATTTCCGTTTCTGTTTTCTTCATGTCGATATTTATAGCCTTCTGCTGTTAGGTCTTCCATCTCCGACTTGTGTTACCTTCGACTTATATTGACAGACATAAGTAGCATACATCACATATATATAATCGATAATGAATGGTTAGATGATAGTCGGATATTATGGATTATATAGCAGTTGGACTATTTGGTTCAAGTAAAACTGCTAATATAACTTTTAGCAAGTTTAAATCATTAACCCCTTCTTTATACTGCTTACGACAGGTTCTCAAAGTGAATGAAGAAATAAATAAATGGGGAAATATCAATGGTTTAAATCGTTATTACGAATTTCGTTACAGTAAGGAGTTTTCATTAGCAGTTATGTAATAAATTTTCTTTTACATACAGTCAAATGACAATCATTAAAAAATTACATTTAATATATGTCCTTCAGACGATCAGCATAAACACTAACGAAACCTTTCAATCAATTTACAAGCTACATATACTTTTTCCATTCAATCAGTTATTGAATATATGTTTCAATATTTTTTCAAAGGATAGACAAGTAGGGAAATGTGCTAGTAAATACTGCGCTTCGGTTTAAGATTTCTAGTATTGTGCATCGTGATGGGTTGTAAGCTATTCTTAATACTATAAGAGTACTCTTGGTCTCGATTAAGAATTAGTTGGTAGATATGTAAATGGATAAATAAATAGAACGATAAGCGAACAGATGCTCAATCCTTTGGTGGATTAGCAGAGTTTCTTGATACATTTACGTCCATACGTTAAGAACTTCATTCACGATCTTTTTTTAACCAAATTAATACTCATTTCGATATTGTTTTTTCGAAAAAATATTTCACAAGTGACATGAACCATGGAATTTCGCTGTTCTTAACATTATTTTAAAGAATAGTTAACTGACTTCGGTAAAAAACCGCTTCCTCACATCAAGTTCAATTGTTTTAATGTTATTCATAAATACGTACATAAACATTACTCTTAAATCATAGGTCATAAATAGTTTATTTGGTGGACCCTATGTAAGATTTGTATGCTTATAGTAGACTACATGTTAGATTCGTAGAGCCTCATGTTCTGTGCCTTTTGAAGTGTACTGCACCATAGTTTTACTCAATGTAATATCACATATTTTAGAAATACTATAATTCGACATGGCTTTTAACTTTATATTGATTTCAAATCTTGTCAGTTGATCTTACCATCATAATTAAAACCCTGCATTTAGATTTCAAAGACGAATACTGTTTAGTTTTACCAAGGATTGATAATGATATGTAAGCACTGATAATTAAACACCATTCTCATCGAAACTTATATTCGGTAGAATAAAACCACTAGTTATCGCGTCCGTACCACTTGTCATGAATGTTAGGAAATATTATATAACTTCTATGCAGTCATAGTGAGATTATATTAATTATGGAAGTATTATACCTTTTTACATCCTCAGACATATTACCCATCCGAAGTGCATTGCATTTGACGTGTTCGGTACAAATGAATACCAGTAGTTTTAATTTTTGGAATATACTACTCATGAGTAGCGTAAAGTTATGGTAAGTCTCATTTTTTTCCTACTTTCTCGATACTGTGTTCCAACTGAAGTGAAACATACGAATATACATTTAACTAGTAGTTGCATCGTTACTGGTTCATCAAGTGATTAATTATTTTAGAAATTTGTATAAAATAATTTTAGGGACACATCTACCTATTTTAGAACAGTTTAGTTTAACCCATCATGAAGATAAACCTTGAAACCGATATATGGAGTACAAGGTGGATCGAGAGTAGATGGATCTTTACAGAATACCTATCTTGATGTATCGGTTTTCATGTAGCAAACATTAAATTTGTTCACGTTTTCATGATGTTTTTCCTGATGTAGTGGGTGGGAATGGCGAGGATTGTCTAAAACTCTTCTGAATAATGATTGTCTTTGCCTAATAAAAAGACGGGAAATCAGGGTTACTAAATAACTTAGAGCGTACATATGAGTTGTGACCTTTAACCAGGCCAATTTTTAAGCTATTAATTAGACTCAAAAGTAGTTATACTTGTCATGCCACAAAATATTAGTGTATTAAGTTTAGTTTATTTTCCTTAATGCATCACATCTTCATAAGACAACTATCATTCAAATGAAGAGCCCGACAGAAACCTAGTGAAAACATTTCAACGTTTGTTGAATATTGCAGTTAACTCTTCATCAGTTCCAATAGAATGAATATATGTCAGATCATCGAATATAGATTGAAATATTTCACCCTAATCGGACATCAGTAATAAGGAAAATTAGCGAACTGTTTTAATTATTATAAATAAAATTTACAATATTGAGTGGTTGTACCACGTTTATTGCTATCTATTATTAGATTGGAATCCAAAAGTTTCGGACTGTATAAACTCTGTATGTCATATTTTCTTAACCTGACGCTGGATACTTTATCACAAGGGTGAAGACTATTGAATAATGAAATACTATTCGACCTAATGATGTCAAAACTATGAGAAATATATATCCAGCGCTATTAAGTTACAGAATGGTGACGACTCGTAAACCAAGTTAGATGAATATCAGAAGACAGTAAAAGTGGTTAGTAAAATTTGTTATTTCATCACTATATTGAAGATGTTTATGTACAAAGTATTCGGCACAAGATGAACGTAGTTATGACCTGTTAACCGAAACCAATTAAAGTTACATATTAGCTGAAAACGTGAGAACAAATTATGTTATTAAGGGTATCTGAGATCTACTAAGAGGTAGAATACTAAAGATTAACTGTAAAAGGTTTGCCTGATGTTCAGATTACCCTTGTTATCATTATCCTTATATTGTACATTATGACAAAATTTCTGATCGAATACATTTTTCCAAATTGTTTAAAGTTAAGTACATCTTTTCATGAGTGAGTGAGATTTTGAGAGGCTTTTAAACAATTGTAACAACTCAGCCATCAACTAAATATTTATGTAAAGAGCTTACATCACACACAATTGGTGAGAGCTAGAGATACTACCACTGTACAGATCGAAGTGAGTAAAGTGCTGTTCAAACAGAGAACATACCGGATAGAGTTTGAGTGCTTTAGCCTCTGGACCAAAGTACTACATCCAACGTTATCAAGACTTCACAATGTCCATTCGTGAAAGTATTCCAGAAGAACAGTTAGTATCTGTCTAACTACTATGAAGGTTACTGTTGTGAAATCCTATCTTCATAATGACTTTGTAACAGTGACATATAAAAGCTCTTATACAGTGATTTTTTCAGGCTAAAGCTATCGATATTCAGTTACTTTCCTTCATATCGAAAGATAGTTTTATTTACTTAGTTTGTCTTGAAACTTTCTGGATGAGAACCAATGACTTGGAACTTCAGCAGTTGAATTTATAAGAAACTGTACATAAAAGACTAACTTTGTTTACTTTATGATAATAGGTCTGTCTCCATACTTTTAATTCATAGATAGAATGGTTACATTTTATGATATATGTATCTAAGTGACTTGATTACTATAAATTTACAAATATCAACTTGCACTTCCGCATAGTGCTTCCTAGATAGTAGGTGATCTTCCTACTCATGAACTAACGCAAGCGGCACAGTGGAGACCGGACTGACCAACCACTGTGCACAAGTCAGGTGGAGATTTGGCTTAATCTTAATTACATGAGAAGCGAGGTCAACTTGAAATGCGTTTGATTGCTGCATTGAAGGAAAACTCATTTTTATGCATGAACAGATGAGTCTGGAAATGCCCATAAGATCTGGCAGGGGTGGGCCAGGGCGTAGGCCGAAAAATGTGCAGTAACCAGTGTACAGTGATCGATACAAAACCGGATTGTGATAAGAGCGTGAAGTGGGTACCTCTTCTATGACTGTTTATTCACACGCTGATTTGAATACTCGATATTGAACCGATGAAATACCTAGGGCGATCGCATCTATACTTATATGTATACTATGGGCCTTGGCTTATGCATTTCTGTGTGAATGTATCGTATAATTGCGAGCGGAAACTTCTACGCCTATATGTACTTGTGGGAAGAGTGGACTTGGTGAAGCTTTATATTATTGCATGTAAAGCATACTAGCTACCGCGCCCATCTATGCCATTATGTATAGCACTGGAATGTTTGTATCTTTGATACCTGCATTTGAATATATGTATATTAAACATACCTGGGGATAGTTCCCACGTTTCTCCATTTGTGAACTTATTAGTAACTCACCAGCGCTTTCAGTTTGCATAAACGCTTCCAAAAGTGATAGGAAAAATGTAGTATAGGTCAGTAAGAATACGTCTGTACTACATTGTGTGGGTTGAGTTAATCACCCATGCTACTGATATCACTATCCCTTTATACATATTTTTCCCAGTGTCCATTCGTATTGTCTTTGCAAAGCTCTTCTCTACCCAAAGAGTCATGAGGTTCTCCACCTATGTTGAGCGGGAATAACTATAACTAACTACTAATAAACATTACGATGATAGATTTTTAAAAGAATGAACGGTCAATTGATTTTAAATTAACTGAATTAAAGAATAACAAAACAAGTCGACAACATAAATTAATTATTCTGGAAGTGTAAACTAAACAGGTTGAATTTAATAATATAACAACTGTTGAAATGTTTTCTTTGAAGTAATACAAAATAACAAATATTGAGTTTTTTATTTTTAAAGAAAAAACTTCCTTCAAATAACACCTTTCTGACTTGGATAGTATATTCGGAATAAAATGTTTATTAATAAAGGTAGCTTTGTAATGGCATAAAATTCGCCTTTAATTATCGAATTAGTTATATATACGATGAAATAAATTCATACATGTTGGCACAATAAAAACTGTAATGAATGGACAAATAGTGCCTTGTAAAAATGAGTTAAATAAATGTAACATATTAAAATGACTTTTCATCACTTCATTACTAATATTAATTGTAGAAAGACTGATTATCTGGTTACATATTGATTCCATAAGTCTTGTACTAATAACCACAATTATTAAACTGAATAGTATAATCGGTAGGGAATTTGTGTCTAGTACTGATTGTTTAGAATGTGTTGGTTTAAGACGCAAACCTAAAGATAAACCTGAATAAAAAGAAACACAGGAATTAGTTCAATAAACAAACAGATATTTAAGAAATAGAATACAATATATGAGTGACTGTTACAATCACTAGTTCTATATGAACTAACGTTTATCATTAGACCGATGGATCAAATATGAATATATTCAAGAAACAAGTCAAGATATTTCCAACGACTATTTAACATTAATCAGTACAGAAACCATGATAACAAAGTTTATTAAATGAAATAACTTTTTTTATGGGAAACTAGTAATCTCGTATTACTGGACGGTGAATTTATGTAAATTATACACACAGACATCGAGTTAACGTTTATTGAGAAAACGAAATAATTAGACAGTCGTTTTTTCATAATTTGAAACTCTTCAATGATATTTATCCATAATCACGTTTCATATAGTGAAGACTAATTAAAGACTGTGGTGTGAACAGTCAACTATTGAAGCTAGTCACATTTGCAGATATCTAAAATTATTTAGTTATGACAAAAAATAGACGAACTATCTCGTAGTGTAAAATAACTGAAAACTTCACAGTCAAATGGGTTTTAGGATTGAATATTTTCTGTACACAATCACCGACTACTCTAACACCCAAGGTTGGACAGAATACTAGTATATGTCTTCAGACTCTGGCTTGATATCAGTTCATAGGATTACTGATGATTAGTCTTATTAGTATCGGGAAGTAAAACTTTCCTGGTTGGTCTCAAAAAAACCATAGTAATCCATAACTGAGGACCTTAAATAATAAGGCTCGAAATCGGATGCAGTGACAAGGTATGGGTTTAATTTGCGACTTTGTGTAAATCTTTAATTTTAGTATTATCTAAACTTCTCACTTCTTTCCTTCCGATCAGTTAGTTTTAAACACCACTAACATTTTGATTAATCTGCTGTGAATCATTTTAGTTTCTTCTTGTTCGGTTGATATGAAATGTGACAACTTACGAAAACAAAATACCAGCCAGAAAATCAGAACATGAAGAGATTAGTACTATAAAGGACGTACCAGTAGCAGTCCCAGCAATTCGTGAAAATCCCATCATAAGACTTGTTGATAAGTGAATCCATTCTGGTCGTAAACATGCTGATTGTGCTAAATTTATACTCCAGTTAGGATCTACTTTTATACCATACTCTAAGAATACACTGAAAACGTATGCAAACATGAATGAACAGAAGCCCAACCACAATAGTCTGTTTGGATGAGTTAAGAGATAAACAGCTTGTAGATGTAACCAGTTTATTTTGACTTCGTTTTTTGAACTGAGAAAACTACCAGGTAAACTAAATAATAACCCAACTGCGATACCTAAATTTAAAACAGAATATACGAGAATAAGTTAAGTAAACTGTTGTAGTAGTTAGTAAAGAGTTATTCTGAAAGATAGTTTTTGAAATTGCAAATCATGTCACAAAGAAGAGTAGCAAACATAAATTAGTGAACACAATAACTGAAGTTAAATAAGATATAGACAAAACATCGAAAATCCATAGTGATATATGTTACTCAATGTCCTACTGAGAATCAAATCATAAGAGATTAAAAAGTGTATTTCATATCTTCAATATCAATGGCTCTTCATATAAAATAATGAACTTTGTTAGGAGACGGAAATATTCTAAAAAAACGTTCACAAAAATAAACATGAATAAGAAATCTCACGAACAACTTAATTTTTGTCATATGTTTGAGCACAGAAATTTAACAATCATGTTTCTACAGCATTTAAAATAACTAGTTAACAGTAATGGAGCGACAGCTTTTTCAGTGTGATTTGCACTCCTTTCTGAGAAATGTTTTCTTATCTTTAATTATACACTCATCTTGCTTATTTACATGATGTTCTTATTAATAATCATTCTCAATGTTATTATTATTAATATCATCACAACTATGACACAATAATTCCATGTTGCATTAACTTGTTTTTACATACCATTTTAACTTATTGATTACAATTTATCACCTTCATAAAGGTGTAGTTTTTTCTCACCCTTCATATATGACCTTTTCACAACGTTACCAATAATGTCATTTTGTTTAACCGTTGAATTCATGAGTTGATCTAATTTATACCACTATTGAAAACCTAGAAGCACTGAATGGTCGTTTCACCCTAGTATTCGACTCCTCAGAAATGCACATTCACGATCCCGCATGCGTTATCTGGACCTAGGACTTTCGGTCTCGCATGCAAACGCTTAACTTCTAGTTAGTAAGTTGTATCATTTAGAACTCAATTATCGTGAAGCTTACCTTTCAATTAATACAGTGGATGAATCCAACCTTAATATTTTGTCTATTGAAAAATAAAAATAATCTGAATAATTCACAGTGGCATCTCTTAGTTTAGTGATAATCAATATCTAGTGGCAACTGGAAATATATTTTTATTTTCCAAGTTTTTACTATTTTACGATGAAAATAAGTTCGCTTTTAGAGTTGGCACATCAAAATTAAACAGATAAGCGATATATAGATTATTTATTGTGGTTTTGCATACAGCGATTGAATAATTTGTTTTTGAAAAAACTGGTAATTATAAAATAATTTAACAAAAGTGAAAATGATTATTACCAGATATTAGTCCTAAAATGACTTGATGAGGAAAATGTGCTGCCAAGTAACAGCGGCTAAGGGCAATTAACCCAAAAACTAAACAGGATAGTGTTATCAAACATCGTTGATGGATTCGACTAAAATAAATAAGGATGAACAATAGGGGTTAAGTTTACAGAAACTCGAACAGAAAAAAAGAAAAATTTATGTCTCGATATGAAAGGAAACCTTCCTGTTTTTAATCAGTTGGTTCCCATCAAACAGATTCCAGTGTAGGCCAGTTTGAATACGACGATAACCAGTTCCTTCTAGGTCTTGGATAGCCATTTAGTTTAATTAAAAGTTTCAAATTGGATTGTCTTCTCGAATATGACTAGACAAATATGAAAACTAACTATCGAAACAGAATAAATATGTTTCTTGTTGAGCAGTTACAAGACAAATTAGTCCAAATCCCTCATTATGACTTGATTAATAACTTTTAAACTCAATCGTACTTCTTTGATCAAGGCCATCAATAGTGCTCATATTTCATCCCCTTATGATGGACCATATCTTCAGTAATTTATTTTCTTTACCTTAAGTTAGAACGCGTTTGGAAAAAAAATTACATCAGTTAGCCATCTATATTGTTTTAATAATAACTCCGTTGCTAATGCAAAGAATTCTCTTCATTTACTTTTCATCGAAGAATTACAGTTTTTGCTATATGTAGTTCTATTACTGTAGCTACCTTCTCCCGCAATATTCAACAAAATTAAGGTTGAGTACTTTAATTACTTTAATCGTTGACTTAAATGCAATAGATATGTTAATCAGTTAGATTTAGGCTGAACAACATTTTCGAGAGTGGTTTCCCAATACTTCCTATTGCTAAATTTTAAAGTCATTGTATCTTTAAGCAATAAATTGGACAGTAAGTAACAATAATAAAGCGAAATACATACTTTTTAAATTTATGGTAGAAGTAAATTATCATTGGTGTTAGGCTTGCTACAGTTACCATACAATGGCCTGATGGACTTCCAGGTCCAGTTTCACATGTTAGTGGGTACTGTTTTACAGATAAGTCAGGGTCGGTCAGCGATCGATTCAGTGTAAGCCACCAATATGGCCGATGACCATATAACATCCTGCAGATTGAAAAATGAATCAGAATTAAGCCAAAAAGGCTTACAAAGACATTTTTAACAATTCAACCCACTAAATATTTAAAAGTAAGAAAATAAACAATCTACAAAGTTTAAGTGAGAAATTAACACATGAGTTTGAAGTTACAAAAAATATTAGACGAATGAATGAAGATTGCCCGTCAAAAGAGTTCGCCAATTACAGTTTTTGTGTATGTCCGTCGTGATCACAAACGAAGAATTGCTTAAGCACTGATGATCTTGCTTACACAGGTAGTGATTAGTGTTAGGCCAGTGAAAATTAGATGTGATTGACCACTAAACGTGAACAAACGGACACTCAGCTTACTTATTACTTAATACATAATTTCCTTCACACCACTGATTTCTACTTTGGACCCACTGAGTGTAGATTGCTTGTGATTGTGATGAATAAGATATTGTCTAACTAATGCCTTGGTTCTGCATATATGGACGTGGATCGTATATCTGGTATGGCGTGTCCAGTTTGTGCACAGACTAACGATTGGAATAAATAGAAGTTTCAGTGATAGTTCTTATTATAATTTCAGTATGAGAGGGGAAAGATATTCTCTTGAGCTTCAAAATAAAATACACCACAAATGTACAACAAATTCAGAAATAAAAATATGAAACATGATAACCGAATGTCTTTAATGTAATTTCATCGCGATAAAATATTACTAATTCAACGTTTCATAAATATTGGTTAAACAGATAACTAGATTGACAATATGTGCTTTACATTTCTATTACTTACTTTATATAGTCCATATCTGTTTATGAATCTTCATCGTTCTCTTCTAACAACGTAAAGTTTGTCAAGAATATCTGTTTTATGCAATAACTACTTATAGCACTTCGCCTAAAAGTCTTAGATAATAGGACGAAATATTTTAGAGTATTTGTACAAGCTAGGACGATGTTATATACAATTAGATACATCCACGTTCATTTTAAGTCTAGATGAGTATTGAACGAGAACTCAGATGGGGACAACCAATTTATTGTTCAATACGACATTACAGATTTCTATGATAAAATGTGAAAACCATATATTAAATATTTCATTTGCCAATCCTCAATCAATCGTCTCAAATTTCATCGTCCTTCATTGCTATTGCCATTACTCTCTGTTTTCATTCTCGTTCTCTTCATACCGATCTTCTCAAACTTATGTTCATCGAAATAAGTAGCATAAATCACAGATTCGGTTTCATCTTACAAACTTTGATATATGTTGTTAAGAAAACTTCAAAGTGATTGAACAGAACTCTTCAGCAAGTAAAAAATGGTGACTACTATTTTAAACTTCAACAAAAAGAAATCGTAGGTTTTGTAGACGATATGTTCAACAAAGAGAAGCAGTGACTGTGGATTACTTAAAGAACAGCCCTAAACTGGTTATAGCAGAATAAATCCACCTAAATCTCTGATGTCCTGTTACAATGGATTAGGCTCATGTTTCTCGTTTATCCTATTTTGATGGACTGACAACCTGAGATGACACAACATAGTTACAAACCTTTCTCAAATATACTGAAACCAATCCATTACAACTTATCCTTATTATTCGATTTTAAAGAATATCACTTATTGACCGATGAATTTAGGTCATTTGATACACTGGTATTTCCAGTTATATAAACAAGCGTTATTAATCCATACATGGTATAACACATATCTGATATTATCCAAGTAATTTAAAATGGAGATTAGTGTAGAACAATATTTCCATTTTGAAAATAGATGAAAGTTTTAGGAATACTGCATACAAACAAAACACGACATTAAAAGGTACAGTGTGAAACATAAACAGTCGATACAAAAATGAGTTAAAATTTTGGATCCAATACAGATTACAAGTCTCAGCACAAATTGGAAAAATACTGACCACTTAAGTATTCCGTTTAACCAGTCTGCTAAAGCCGTACATAAGATTGTCGTGATCCCCAATCTTGGATCAGTATAATAAGCAGTTGGAAACGTCAGTGAGTAAGCAGTATTAGGACTACCGATATGACTAACGACTGTGAACAAAGGCTCCAGACGCTAAAATCATAAACAAAATTCAGTTGTTGAGACCCAAATCTAATATAAAAGAGATTGTTTTACTGAATGAAAACAATCAACCATATTATCAGGATAGATAGAATAATAATTAGATATCAGTACATTTCATCTCATTTTTTATTAGTTAACGGATTAAAGAAAATCTCTATTAAAACTGTTTCATTATCTTACAGATGGATTCAATCTATTCGGATATGTTAAAGCTACCTATAGCCTGGGATATGTAAGTAATGTAATCTTGAACTCTAAAGTTCCGTAGCATCACTTCGGAGTTAATTTGCACTGAAACTCTGCCTTGACTATGAAAACACACAAACAGAAAAAACAATTGATTCGTATGCGTTCAAATCCGTTTTTGACCTGATTTCTCTTCATAAGCTGATCAGGAGGTAGTTAATAACAAACCGGCTACTTATACCATACTTTCTCTCTAAGTGAAAAGTTGGAGGAAGAGAGGGTACACCACTCGATGATCTTGAGAATCGGCCCAAACTGAAACTGTTAAACATAATTAGTTGTAATTTGTTTCAACACGGGATCCTACCTAACTCAAAACTAGGATTTGAGAAAAAGTAGAGGTGACCAGATCAGAACAGTGAAATCGCTCTACAACAAAATGAATTATGTCTTCATTTCAAAGTGGCCAGCATATACTACTATCTTTCCTCAGACGAATAAAAGGTTTTTATTAAAGCATATAGATGTAGACAGTGATGCACTATGATATTGATTGACCAAAGCAATAAATAGAACGTTTAATACAGCTAACTTGTCTTTCGTTTTTCAGCCAACCTATGGTGATTGCTCAACCAAAGGATAAGTTACTTGGTTTCGGCACATTTATGTGTTCCAACTAATTCAGCTGCTCCTGTGGAGAAAGCTAATGTTGGGAGCACAACCGAACAACTGAGCCATCAAATCAGTTAACTCTTTACTTCGTGATTAAAAGTGTGTCGTCAAAACAACATGCAGCTCTGTTCTATCACACTTGACCAATATCAATCATGTAGTAGATAAAACAGGCCACTTAAAGTAATTTATCGTACTCCTATCAGTTTTCCTTGTTGAATTTAGTCTCGTCACTTACACATAGCAGAAGGTATGGGGATTCGAGAAAATAATCTAAGTCATTGTATTCATAAGGAATCTGTAGCATTTATCTTTACTGTGGTAAAACTAGGCTTAGCAAACGATCATACTTATCACTATTTTTCATACGCTTTGTCCCATTTATCTGAACACTTTTTATTACATAGTTTTAATAATTTTGGATAAATGTTAATTGAATGTCTGTTTTCTCAAGGTTTCAGTCTACATCCTACCATGAAACATTGATTAAAGACTTTATTATTCATATCACAACTAGTACACCTGTAATCACACTATCAATTTGCACCTTCTGCTTACTATGTTTATTTATTCAATTTATTATATTGTTATCACTGACTCATAAACTCCGTTGATTGACTTAGTAATTTTATACATGTATACAAACATTATTGTATACTAGAGTAAAGCCCGATGAGGATCTAATTGCAAACAATGTTGGTCGCTAATACATGTTGCTATTATTCACAATATGGGGATTTTTAAAATGTTTATTTGACTTTATGGGCTATACAGTAACTCTCCACTAGCCAAAATTACAATGTAAATAAAAAACTTTACATGTATTGAAGCGAACACTTTTGTAAAGAATCAGATATAAAAACTAACTACGTGGTCAAACGATATCAGTTTCAAATAAAATAATCATAATGATTAAGATAAAGTCCAAACCAAAGTTTCTTCCTCAAAGATAAAGTAGGTCACCTGACACTAAGTAAATTCAAAGTCAACTAATTTTTCTTAAAGTTACAAAACCGATTAACTTCAGACTTAGACTGCTCAGCGTATCAATTATAACGTGTGAAATTCCAGAATTTAGGATATCTAGTTTACCTAAAAAATTACATCACTTAAACAATTGGACACTAAATAGATAGTCAGTCAGTCAGCCACAACGTAGAACCAGGCACATATATGCATAGGTCAAAGTTGCCATACCTCATTAGTACAACAAGATGAACACTGGATTCATAGAAGTAATTAATTCAATGGTAGTAATATATGAAAGAAAGATTGCATATAAGGATATAGTACAGAAAGAAAAAATTAGTTCGTAGAAAGAAAGGTATGAAGCGACTTTAATCTCATAGTTTAAAAGAAGATAGGAAGTGCATACACCTACGCCATTGTGATCGATTCTGAGCCATGTCACCCCGAGTCTCAAACCATTGGTTACGATAGTCACGTGGACCCCAACCAAGCAGTCTGCATCTACCAACATGGCAAAGACCAGAAGTTAGTGACTTTAAGGACTGATGCCACGTTCGGGTTTGGCCACTTCCTTCCAACCATCCCGAACACTAGTCAGCATTGAGCGTCGTGGTAATCGGTGCTCGGGCATACGTAACACGTGGCCCAACCATCTCAGTCGATGAAGATTCACAACCTCATCAACTGATTTACCATCATTCCCTAATACCCTGGGTCTAACCTCCCTATTACTAAATAGGTAGCGCTTATATAAAGTCCTTCGTAAAAAAAATACTGTTTGGTAACGATTATAAATTTGCAAACTCATACACAATCCCATCTTTGTCAACTCATGTGTGCATAGCTTCTTATTTGTGACTGAATCTCTATTCCACATTATTAAATGTGGGCAACAAGTAGCTCTACAGTTCTATAAGTTATCTAATTTCACAAACTGTGCTACTTCCATCTAATTACAAGTTAAGCAACTGTTAGTTCTGATCACTAGTAAAAAAAATTACGGTTTGGAATAGTTTTTTTAAACGTACGATTTGTGACTGTTACAAGCTAGCTTATGTTGAAGCAAACAATTCAATACGTCTTCATACAAAAGCGCGTTTTCGAAACCAATATATGAGATAAATTACTACTTATGACCAAGAAGTTAATAAATTACAAACTGATTTAGGAATGATCAGATTTTAATATAACATAGTGATACTCCCTTACTTTCAAAATGGGTAATTTTAATAAAGTTACCTTGATTGGTCAATTAACCATTCGATGATAAATGAATGGTAATTAATTTATGCCTAAAAATGCATGCTCTAGTGGTTTGCTGACTAGCATCTGTTATTCTTGTTTGAAAATCGTCGTTACTTTCAGGTTAACAGTAGTTTTGGATGGAAAAAATACATTTTTATCAAAGTTCATGTACTAAGGTTGTTAAAGCACTCATAAGTTTACTCCTGTGCAATCCAAAACAAAGATATACAGCCATCCTTTCAAAACCTTTTTAAAAAGCATGTCCACTATAAGGTTGAAAATGTACACCTTACAAACTATCGCCTTGTCACCTCTCATTTATTTTTGTATCAAAATAAATATTTAATAGCTTAGAAGCGGTGCAAAATAACCCCTAAATTATGCCCTATTTAAATTAAAGAGACATAGAATTACTTGAGAATCACATAAACATATATAAGTCCGTCAAAATGCATTAAGAAGTGTAATTCATCACAGTAACGAAAGTTTAAATTACTCACTTCATAGTTTTGAATCCAGTGTATAAACTGGATGCCATTACTATGTATCCTATTCATTTTTAGTGCAACAGACTTTTCAATAATGTTCTTTCAGGATTAGAGACAAGCAAAATGTAAAGGGCCTTGAACAATAGCCTTAGTAAAGATAGGCGAAAAGTAAACGGTAAATAAAACATGAATACATCATATAAAGTTAACTCACTTCGTATACTACAGCACATGTTAAATAACAGTATTATAGACAGTGATCAAAGACAATCAAACGATACCTCATAAAAATTTCTTCTTAAACCCTCAAAGTAAGTAAATGATGACTGTATTCCGTCGTGTTCATTAGCTGGATACCATAAGAATCTGATCTTCTACATACACTCATTACCTTAGCCATAAATTGTTAAGGTCTGACACAAACAGATGAGTGAAGTATTGTTGACAGACTTGACATTTTTTACAAGACATGAAAATCAATCCTTAGTTTATACTATCAGTCAAATCACGTGATGCTCTGAAGTTTGTAGTGCAATAGGATTCATAACATGTAAATATATGAAGATCTTTTAATACCTTTTGGTTTGTTAGGGGCCTCTAATTTTACAGCCCATACTGCCTAACTGCGTATTGAACCCTACTAGATACGATAAAACAGGACAACACTACTTTCCAAATGTCTTTTGGGCTTAACTTTAAAGACAAGTGGTAAATTCAATAAGGATTTGGAGAGTATATTTATACTTATGCAGAATTACTGGAGGTTGCAACTCTTCGGCTAGCACTTCAGAGGAGAGAATTCTTAATACAAGATGTGTTGCGATATGGCCACAAAACCACTGTTCACTTGCAATCTAGGAAATTAGACCAATGGGTAGGATATTTTGAGAAACAACCCAACTGAGCTTCAGCTACCCATCAATTACCCTGTATCCAAACAACCTGAATAGATTATTTGTACAAGTCTCCCTAATCTCAATGTGGTAGAAAAGGCCATAGCCAATACAAATCAAGAGTGAAGCGGGCTCGGATGGATTAACTTCGAAGATTTTTAAAGACGGCATTCCAACTTTTAGCGCCTAAGCTGAGATGATCACTAGATTTTAAGGGCTGGGTGTAACCATAGCTGACTGATCCCAGTAGATGATCATTATAGTTTACATATAACGTCAGAAATCTTATAGTGATAACTGCAGAGTCAGTTTGGCTAATCTGATGCCTGATATACTAATATTTCTAGCCATTTGATGCTCAAATAAAGCACGTGAAGGGCAAATTCTGGACCTTGGGTATGTCTGGTTTCGCTATCTCGCGACCTATCTACCAATCCGGATACGACTTATGCGAACTTCACACTAGGCCAACCAATGACGTTCAACCGGTGTGGGCAGTCTAGCGTCCTTATTGGTCCTATGTACTACGAGCCCTTCCACTTGAGTCCAGAATACAATACCAGCTTCGAATTAGGGCAGATCAGAGCAGATCGTTTATTTCAAACATACTCGGTTTATATATCAAACAGACAGACCACAACACACCATAAATTAGGAAATAACATATGTACACAAATAAGCCAAAAAGTGGCTGTGAACGAGGGGGACAGTAATTAATAGACTGAACATAGTTTAAGAACCGTAAATCGTACAATAATAAATTATAGATCAAAATAAAGCTTATAATAAGAGGGATATAAATATACATAATCTAAAGATTCAATAGTTTTACAATAAGAATATTTATAGAATATTAGTCCACTAATAGTCCTCGGGAGTTAGCTGTAATTTAATCTTCGCTCGGATATAACAGCTGGGTGTAACCATAGCTGACTGATCCCAGTAGATGATCATTATAGTTTACATATAACGTCAGAAATCTTATAGTGATAACTGCAGAGTCAGTTTGGCTAATCTGATGCCTGATATACTAATATTTCTAGCCATTTGATGCTCAAATAAAGCACGTGAAGGGCAAATTCTGGAAAACAGGGCTAGTTTTAGACCTAGATGTGGGTATATTGATCAAGCATTCACACTGCAACATGCGTACCAATACATACTGCCGTCCCATTTCTTGATTTTAAGGCAGCATTCAACACCGTTGACTGAGAGATTTACTGGCAATGCTCTTCATTTAAAGGTTTATTAAAAATGTGCTTGACCGTATGAACGCTCCTTACTCAGACACTATTAGTCAAGTCAGAGCCTATGATGAGTTATCATCAGAGCTGTCTATCGGAAAAGTTGTTCTTCACAGTAGTCTACTATTCCCCTTTCAATTCGACTACGTCTTAGATGTTCCCTTACAAAACCACTTTCTTCATCGAACTTTCGACGGTTGATTTTCAACCGGAACACCTACTGATCAACTTGGGATACACAACTGAAATATCCCTGGTCAGTGGACTGGCTGATAAAATCCAGGCTTTTAGTTACCTTGAGCAATGAGCATGCAGAGAAACTACAGATACTTCGTTTTCACCTCAATCAAATTATTTGGACTTTCTTCACTACTGATCTTGTCAATTTTATCTTGTCGTTCCATTGTATTAAAGAAGCTTCGGGCAAGCATATTTATTACATGTTCTACGCTGTGAGTGTTTGACTAGTGGCTATGATGCTTAAATAACCACCATCAGTTATAAATATACATATATACACGGATAGGACTATGAACTACCAAATCGATTATCTTCCTTCACTGAAAACGTTGCTAAAATGTGTGAAACGTTTGCTTTCATCAACTTAATGCCATCTGTAACTTTGATAAACAATTCATGGGGTAGTTGTACGAAGCTACGATTGATAAAAAGACGTTCAAAATAAAGACGAGGCCTTCTTCATCAGTACGCACAAACACTAACGCTGCTCACCCTGTTTCATGGATAAATATCCCATCAAGTACAAAAAAACAATGTTTTAATTAGGAATATATACCAGTAAACAAATAGAGTAGAACAGTTTGTATAACATCAGACTGACTAAACAAATAATGAAAACTAGATTCAAGTGAAGAACTTGAATATGATGCCACTAGAAGATGAGGACATATTGTTATCTGTTGTAAAATGCCAAAAATAGTTTTATTATAAATTTGATGAAACTGACCACGATATATCAACAGAAATTTATAAAGCGCGCTTAGTGAAATGCCACCTTGTATCCTTAAATTGTCCAATGTTACATGGCCAAATAGCTCATTTCTTCAAGTCTCATATTTCTTATAAATTGAGTATTCGAGAATCTTCGTCGTCATTGCGCCGCTTCAACACTTATGATTCATGAATAACTTGAAAATATGAAGAGATATGTCCATATGGCGAATTGATATAAATGTATAACTCAAGGTTGGCTCATAAATACTGTGAACTTGAACAAAATCTTTCGTGATTATTTTTCACAAAACTCAATGAATCCTAAGCAGTCGATAAGCACTTGAAAAATTTCAAATACTTCTACTATGATTCATTTTATTTTGTCTTGTTGACTTTATTTGAAATCACACATAATCAACGCAGAATATTCACTGAGAAATGTGACTTTGACGTAATCTGGGAGATCATGTCAGCCTCGTCTGACTCGAGTTAGTTCCTGATAATCGACAAAAATTACCTACGTTGGTGATCTATAACCTTAAATTGGTTCTATCACATAAATCTGAAAATTGGTGATCTACCACAAACTTCACCAGAAAAGTACAGATGTTCATTCTCACATGTTGACGCAAGAAGTCCGAACTGTCTGACCAGATAACATCAAAACAACATATCCAAGTAGGAAAAAAGAAAGCTTCTGGCTACAGATGAGGAAGTTAAGAAAAAACATTCAAGGTGGATAAGGTACACTTCACATCACTCATTACAAGAAAAGCCCTCGCTTGAAATCCTAAAACCAACAAGATTATGGGCAGGTCAAAGAATACAGACTGGAAAAATAAACAAAAGCATAAATAAAATAAGTAACATTTGCATACATTTCTTACTTCTCGTAGAGTAGCACAGGTCGCTCACAGGCACTCTCCATCAAACTCTTTCCAGAGTATTCCTTTCCACTTGTTATCCATCCTTTTCATATCTGCTTCCGAGTCCCAACTCACTGTGTTCTTGGTTCTTCCTTTCCTCTTATTTTCTTTAGGATTTCAAGTTAACACTTTCATTTTCATGATTCATGCAATATATGTCCTATCCACCTTCAACGTCCTTTCTTAATTTTACTATCAGCTGGAATACAGTCTGTTCTTTGTTACATTTGGTTGTTGTCGATGGTGTCTAGTCAACAGAACTGTATTACCTTGCATATACAGCTGTTTATAAATACTTGAACGCGTTTGATGTTGTTTGTAGTGGTTCCTCACGTTTCAGCTCTGTACAGTGGAACTGTTTTGACGTGCGTATTGAAGATTCTGACTTTGATACTTTTTGACAGTTGTTTTGAGTTGCATGTGTTGTTCAACTAAAGGAAAGCTGGCCTGACGCCAGTCACTTGGAATGCGTCTGTCAGCTGACCTCCGTGCACCACTTCGTGGTGTAGTTCGTCGCATGAATTCTGAATAATGTTGACGTTTTTCTCAGGTACACCATAATGTCGAGGGTGGTTCCATAAATTCTCTTATACACACTGTCAATTGTTTTCTCATAGTCAGGGAAGGTGATGTACAATGATGAGTTCCATTCACTTGGTTGCTCAATAATGATCTGTAGTTTCGTGATTTTGTCTGTGCATGTTCGAACCCCAAGGAATCCAGTCTGTCGTCTGCTGAATTTTTCACGTGGCTCAGCAACACTCTGTTGAAAACTTTTCCTGGAACTGACAGTAGTGTGATGCCTCTTTAGTTCTTTTATTTGCTCTAACCTCCTCTCTTTGGTATCTCAGTGGCACATGTTCCTCTCCCTAAATCTCCCTGAAGCCTTTAATCTAGGCTAGTTAGCCGCTGTAAGAGATGCGAAGTACGGCGTACTCACTCGTGTTCTGGTGTGGTTGCGTGACCAGGTGACTTCAGCTACGTGTGTCCAGTAAAAATAACGAGGTCATGTCAAAGACTTACAGAACTATTTACTTCAGATGTTTAATTATCGCTTTAGTCCGAATGTTCGCATGACAACTATCTTCCGTGAGTGGCACGGTTTCTAGCCTTGGTCTTTTTACATATACTCTAGATTTTTCAGAATTCAAACTTAAACGGTTTGTGATCTGTTGACAAACTCTGGACTCAGAAGTGCTCCTTAAGCCTCAGCAGCTCACAGTTTCCCTTGTCGATTCATGGAGGGCAAAGTGATAGACCAACAATGGCGGTTCATGTTCATATTCAATATATGTCAATCATTTGATGCAATTTACAAGTGTGCACCGAATAATGGTTGTCAGTAGTCAGCTATCGAAACGTCCGACTGAAGTTGTAATCTATATCCAGTTGATGTGCGGCGCGTTGAAATCTCCAACGTTGAGATAGCAATCTAACTTGCTCTCGGAACATTTATTACTTAGGGTAAAGTCGTCAGCAAGACAACATAGACTACTGCATATCTCTCCTGTAGTCACTAACCCGTGTCTAGATTTATTGTTACAATAAGCTATCTCGCATGTTTCGTTGTAATGCGCCTCCGATGCGCTCGACTGCATACGCAAGAAGTCTCTACTGCCTTCAATTTTGCAATTCACACCTCTATCGCTTTCGAGACATATGTATCCTGCAGTCATTGGAGAACAGTTTACATCCACGAGGATCCACAGTTCTGTGATAACAACTATATTGGGACCCAGTTCATCCATCAACAAGCTTAGCATGGAGGTTCAATTTCTAAGACTACGTGTGTTTGTGTAGCACACATTAAAGGTGTTTTGAGAATCACTCATTATATCTATGCAGGTTTCAAAAGCATTGGCTTCCAATGCCTTACCACTCTAAAACGCGGAGTCTTAGGGTTTGTTTCAATTTAACCAGTAACAACATTTATAATCGAATTGTGCCGACCCAGTCAAATGAGAAGCCGGGAACAAAGAGGTTCAAAGATATATTCAAAAAAAATATCGACATATCGCGAAGTAACCAATCTAGGCTGGCTAGCGGTTAAAGGAGGTATGTAGAACGTTGTGCCCACTCGTGTTCTGGTGTGGAGGCCTTACCAAGCGCCTTCAGCTAGGTGAGTCCATTAAAACTAATGCGGTCAGCATCAAATGTCGAAGACTTACGGATATTTTGATTTTGGTGATTTATTTACCGCTACACACCATTTCGCTTTCGCGTTCTTAACTCAGTAATGACATCCTTTCATGTCTGTTTATTTTTCATGGGTTCTGATTTCAGTATGATCCTTATTTCATCAGCATTAAATCTGTGACATAAATGATCAGTTGCTCGTTGCTTCAATGTAGGAAAAGTAGTAAAGTTGTCCTTGGTCCTTTACTTTTTATGCTGTATGCAAATGACTGCCCAAGTATAGTAGAGTCTCAAATGTTGTTATATGCTGACAATGTAAAACTCTGGCGAGAAATAACGGGAGATGCAGATGAATGCGCACTTCAGGGAGACTTAAATATTGGAACCAACTGGTCTAAGGAGTAGGTGATGCCTATTAACGCGTCAAAGTGTGTCTACATGCACTTTGGGGATGTAAAGGTAGATAGGTACAACATAGGGGAGGTACATATACCCGTGGTCTGGACCACAAGAATTTTGGGGTGACAGTGAGTCGTGATCATAAGACCACGGCCCATTGACAGTAGGTCCCCCAGCTAAGGGGTTTACAGTCCTATGGGCTTTAAGACAGACATTCACCAATATTACCATGTTCACTACAGTACACACAACTTTAGTGAGAACTAGGCTTGAGAACTGCGTTCAGGCTCCAAGCCCCTGTTTAAAAGGTGACGCGGATATCCTGGAAAAAGTACATAGGGCAACTATCCGTGAGATTTTAGAACTCCGGAGTTTATCGTACCAAGAGAGTCTTGAAAAGCTAGACTTCTTTACTCTGTTCTATCGCAAATTAAAATGTAATCTGATTCTGATGCACAGAATACTAGTAAATTGTTTTTGATCTAACACATCCTCTCTTTTTCTTCCCACTAGATTGGGAAATCTCAAGCGACAAAGCGAGCGAGTCGAAAAGTCAAGAACGAATAAAATATCTGTGGCATACAGGTTTTCGCACCGAGTTATCAATTCTTGGAACCTGTTACTCAAAACAGTGGCGTCTGCACCTTCACTTGACTTTTCCATTAGAAGACAGGACACTCACAGAAGCATAATAGAGAAAGAATAACATAGGCAATAGGCCTTCTGTCCTTGCTACACAAATCTGAATTTGAGATAGTCAATTGAACTATTCAACAGGTGTCAATTTGCGCTCTGTCTGACAGTGTTGGCAACTGTAAATGGAGAATCCTTTTGCAGATCCAGTGGCGAAGTTGACACCGGTTCGTCATGTTGTCAATCCTCATCTTTTCTCTTTAGACACAGTCTCATGATAACCCTCAGATTTCTCGTGTTGATACGGGTGCACTAGATAAGTACAACCCTTTCGAGGCTACTGGGGATAATAAACATGGTAATCATACCACTAATTCTGTACCACCACCTCAATATTCTGCTACTCAAGCTCAGAAAATTACAACCGCAGAGCTTGAACGTCGTCAGAAGGAGCTGGATGCAAAGGCTGCGGAACTAGCACGAAGAGAAGAAGAACAACGAATGAGAGAGGAACAAAATAGGCCAGTATCCCAAAGAGGTTTGTCATCTTTTTCTATCCTAAGTTGTCCGTCGTCTAGCGTGTTTAATCGCTAAGCTAATGTACGTACCCAGTAGCATATTTTTGAAGATTATTTGCTGATATTAACACATTTAGCAATTACTAAAGGAACTAAATCTCGTCAGCTGAATGTTCCTCCAAATCTGTACCTGAAATTTGTTCTTTTTTCCAGAAGATGACCAAAATATAGGTCCTGGTTATAACTACGAGTGTGCACCGACTATTCACTGTAGCTATAGTTGTATTCATCTATGGCTTCGTTGTTGATTCGAGTCATAGCCTTATTTACATCCATTTTCCCTGCCTAAGGTTTGATTTGATAATTTCAAATAAATTGAGCATTGGGTAGATTGTTATAAATAAATAATTTATTTGTAATACCTCAATTTTCTACTCACTGGGATAT